TGCCGCATGACCACCATGTCCACAACAAACGCACCTCCATCCACGAGCTCCTCAACCCCGTCAACGCCGTCCCCTCTGCTCCTCTAGATGCATACCATCACTCCAATTCGCTGCCGAGTCTGTCGGTATTCATGCCCGCCGCACATCCGCAGCATGTCCAGCCCCAGTCTGCGCCTTATCCGTCGCAAATGAATCATCCATCATTCAGTCTACGTGCTGCGAGCTGGGACCAAGGCACTAAGGACGGTATGGCGTTACGGAGAGCCAACACGGATCCCAACGCGTGTCGTTACGCGTCATCCTCGGTCCCGTCACAGTCTCTCTACGCAGAGGCGTTCTCAAGGCCCTCACGGCCTGCCGACGAGACGCCCAATTACGGCATGGACGTCCAGTCATGGCCTACTTCTTCCGAGTCCGCGAATGCGTCTTACGGATCGTCGATGATGTCGTCCATGTACTCGGATGAGCGTACGAGTGAGTTTCATTTCCATAAACGTCGCCGACTCGAATTTACCGCGCCGCTGCTCGTGTACAAGTCATGTCGGGTAACCCCGTTCCAAAAAGTCCGATCGATGCATCGCATTTTGATCGACCGATTGCTCATCCACGTTGGCCAGATTACGCCCCTCAGCATCAACAACAGTACGAACATGACATGGCGGCCGCACAGCAGTACGCACAACAAGCCGTGACAAATGGTTACTTCATGATGTCGCCAGATATTTCCTGTGAAATCTAACCATATCGTTCTCAGAATGGCAGATGACTGAACGTGCTTCTGTTCGACTTGCAGCCCGCGGATCAATACAGATGCCGATGCATGCTTCCCAACGGCCCCAACCCACTCCGCCTAGCTACTACGCCACTCACGTGGCCTTCGCTGCTGCCGTTCCTTATCCTCATCCCATTGCCGTGCAAAAGAGGATACTGGAACAGCCGGAAGAGGAGACACCAAAGTCAAAGAAAGCGAAGACAAAAGCCAAAGCTGCAGAGGGCACTGGTTGGTTATGCGAGGTTGTCCTGTCCTAGTGCTTTCGCTCATCTAGCGGTAGCTGTGTCAAGACGTGGCTATAATGCCAAGAAGCGTAGTGAAGCGGCGCAGATTGCCGCGCAGAATGGTGTGTTTATTACGTACGGTACGTTACTGACGGGACAACGGCTCACACCTCATCGCACAGCGCAATTGATGCCCACGGTGTCGTATGCTCACGTGTCCGTCGAGAAGGGGAAAGAAAGGTCTACTCCCGGCGATTGTGAGTGAACCCTATCTGGCGTGATGGCCCTGTTCACATCCTGGTTTCACACAAGCCATGAGGCTCGTGTCATCAGAGGACGGCTTATCTCACACCGAGTCTTCCGGCCCACTACATCCCGAGCTGCAGTTTGCTCGATGCATGTCCAACCGTTATAGATCGGAGGAGTTTCCGCGATGCGTTTCCTGCACTCGTCGATGGGCTGGCGATACTTGTCGATTCCAAGGCATTCGTTTCTTCTTGAAGAACGACAAGAAGAACATCGTCGGTGTCAGTTTCGTGGAAAGCCAGAAACCCGACTCGCCCACGATGAACTTCCCAGCCAAGTGGAACATCCCATTGGAAAAATCTCATATCCGGCGCGTTAAGGTCAGCGACCTTTCGGGTTACCATATGTGGTTTAATAAGCTCATGCCTGGACTCGCATCTAAAGCGCACGGTCGCTCAGGCACTACTGCCGACGCTCAAGAAAGAGCTTGAACATCTTGGTTTGAGTGAGATCATCCGCCGGCCAAGGGAAAGCGAAGTTCGTGCGACATGCGGTATGTACTTTAGATTCAAGCGCGTGGCGCTTTGTTCATTCTTGGATGCGCAGATACTTGCATGACATCGATCTTCTCATGCAGTTGGATGTGCCGCCTTTGCGGTCGCGAAGCCTGCGCAGAGTGCTATGAGCAAGTCAAGGAACTAACCATCGATAAAGCTGGTGCACCGGAGGCCGAAATCGCAGCGCTCCAGGCTCGACGGGAGAGGCACGCTCACATCAATCCCTTCTTCCTTTCTTGCACCAGGAGGAACGAGCATCAGGCAAAAGATTTCTCGCCCATGTCGCGCTTCTGCAAGGCAGAGTTATCCGAAGCTATCAGGGAAATGGAAGCTCTATTGCAAGAGACCGAGAGTCAGGTAATATCGCCGGAGCTGGGCTCTATCGATGCTGCCGTACCGGCGCCAGTTCCAAGCACAGCTGGCATCTCTGGAGCCAGCTACGCGGCACCTCGCACCTTCTCCGAGAGCATCGGCACTGGTGTTCCTCCTGAGCCTTCCTCCTTCGCTGCGAGTGCCCTCTCGCCAGTCCAGTCCATGAACGGCCTCACCAGCGTGCTGTCTCATGATACGCTCTATTTTGCCGAGGGGGAACTCTCGGATGATATCTTCCGCCGCATCTGGAAGAGAGGCGAACCTTTGGTGGTCACGGGCCTTCTGCGGAAGTTCCATGTCCAGTGGACGCCGGAATACTTCTTGAATAAATATAGCAGCCAGAGTTGCCTAATCCTTGAATGCCAGACAGACCAAAACAAGCGCGTCACGGTTGGTGAGTTCTTCTCATGGTTTGGAAAGTATGAAGGACGCCGCGACTGCTGGAAACTCAAAGTGAGTTCAGAGCTAGACACGTATGACAATTGTGCTTATTGTCCACTGATGCAGGACTGGCCCCCCTCGACCGACTTCAGGACGGCGTTCCCGGAGTTGTATGACGACTTCAGCAACGCTACGCCGGTCCCGAATTATGTTCGGCGCGACGGTGTACTGAATATGGCGTCGCATTTCCCAAGCAACACGGTTGCACCTGACCTCGGTGAGTGGGTCGGCACTTAAACGGACATGTAAGACTGACAAAGCCGTACCTAGGGCCGAAGATGTACAACGCGATGGCATCGTTCGAATCGCAAGGCAGTAAGGGCTCAACGAGGCTTCACATGGATATGGCGGACGCTATCAATATCATGCTCCATGCCGAGCAGACACCGGACGGGCGCCCCGGATGCGCTGCATGGGACCTGTTCAGGGCAGAGGATGCTCCGAAATTGCGCAAATTCCTGAAGAAGAAATTCAAGGGTCAATTTCAGCACGATCCGATCCACTCGCAGCAGTTCTATCTTGACTCCACGCTTCGCCGCGAGCTGTTCAAGGACTATGGCGTCAAAAGCCACCGGGTCTACCAGAAACCTGGTGAAGCAGTGTTCATCCCCGCCGGCTGTGCACATCAGGTAAGTCTGTCCCTGACCGATACGGATAGGCGTCGTCATTGATGTGGTAATACTTCTTCAAGGTTTGCAATCTCGCGGACTGCATCAAGGTCGCGTGCGACTTTGTTAGCCCGGAGAACATCGATCGGTGCGAGATGCTCACGCGTGAGTTCCGCGAGCAGAATCAGTCCATGGCATGGAAGGAAGACGTCCTGCAATTGAGGACGATGATGTGGTTTGCATGGCTCTCGTGTCGCCGTCAGGAAAAGGACATGGAATCATGAGTGGTATGGTTTCTGCTCTGCCGTCTCGCTTCGTTCTGCATTCGTACGCTAGCACTTATGTTTGCTAACTCGACCATCTCATTCGCACGCCTGTGTTACTCTGTTGTATATTGTGCGCTTCATGTATCGTCTTACGGCCAAGCATACTAATATATCCGAAAAGAAGGCCGATCATCCAGATGAAAGGGTAAGGACACGCAAGGGCTCCATAATGTTGTGACAATATAATTGATGGAGGACGATGATCCCATTTGTGGCCACTTATGACTGCCGGAAGGGCTTACGACTTCAATGCATCATGATCCATGTTAGCCCAACCTGTATGTTGGTTTCCGCCGGCAGCAAACATCGTCAGGCATCGAGAGCAATTCATACTATTACGTCCGTACAGAAACCAACGTCTGACTAATCTCAGAAGACGAAATCGCTAACAAGAACCCCTCCGACCTTACAAAACTATCCTATCGGCAACGAGCTCCACGCAATGATCAAGACATACAATTATATGATATTCAGCACACAAGGTGAACATGTCGCTGTCACGTTCCGACCACCAAGATGGAAGCTCCTCCATCCCTGGTGACACGTTGACGGGTCCTGATCAATACACTCTTGCGTCCGAATTGGCGTAAGGTGGGGACGACTTCAGTCCCGTGCGCTTTCTGGGTCGCCAAACGGGACACAGCTAGGCCGGACGGAGCGAGGAGGAGCGCCTGTCCTGTCTAGATGCGATGGGTTGCGGTGAGAAGCCGCAGGAGCAATCCGGGAGAACACGTTTCGGGTGACATACCTTCAGGTTGACTACCTTGTCAAAAGCTTCTTTGTTATCGATGTCTGCGGAGACGTGCTTTGCGACATGGTCCCACCATGCAGGCGAGGAGAAACGGTGTAAGATTGCAACGCTGCAAAGGTCCAGGAGGACGGTAGGAACGACGGTTGGTTCTACAAAACCATCAACAGTGCGTTTACGCCAACGACACGGCACACCAGAGACATACCTTGCGTACTGATCACGACCCTCATGGCTTGATGACGTTGCTGCCTGATCAGGGACAGCAGCTCCTTTGTCAACCCAGAGGATGTCTTATCAGGCGACAGGTACTGCGAATTTGCTGCTGTTAGTCGATGGTGCACACGAACATCGGCCCACTCACTTTGTGAGCCTCGTCGACAACGAGGACTTTGCCGGTGTCGACCTTTGCGCGCACGAACAGCCTGACGATGATTTCGAACAAACCACTTGCTGACGCGGGGTCGATGAACGGATCGGACAGGTCTATGATAGTCAGCTGGCCGGCTGCGAACCGGGGTGGCGCTGCGCGTTGCTTCTTAGAAGACTTAGGTTTTTCTAGGAAAGCTTCGAGCAGTGCCATCCTTTGTTCGAGCCCTGACAATTGCGGCGGCATGAATTTGGCCTTCCTGGCTTCAAGTTCCTTCTTGAATGCGGTATATGAGTAGCTCTCGCCCAGCTGGCGCAAGATGCTCTGCGAATAATGAAATAAGGAGTCACGAAGACTGTATAACCGGCGGTACTTACAAGCACCGTCTGCATGTACAGCGGTACATGATCGGAGGCGCCGATCGCCATCATTGAGAGGAACGCTTGAGCGTCCAACTCGGACTCGCTGAACAACAACGGCTGAACCGTGACGCGTGAGCCCAAAGGCGCATATACCGTCTTCATTGTGTTTAAAGACGAGTTCGATGCGTAGATGTGCACAGGTGGCAGCTTGAGTGAAGAGTTCTGGGATACGCCTACCCAGGCGGCTTCGCACGGCAGCGAATAAGGACCGCCCTCACCGAAATGCAGCACCAAGCCGCTCAGAGCCTTGTTTAGTGCCCCGATGCGTGAGCACTTCGGGATCAGCATGTCCTCCAGGACTATTGATACCGTATGCGACTTGCCCGATCCTTGAACGCCACATACAAGAGCGGAGAAAGGCGCGTTCTTCGAAGAGTAGCGTGAGCAATGTAATACAAAAGATACACTTGGGCCTACTGACAGTATTGAGATACAGGCGATTGTCATGGCAGGTGTCCGCATGGTTTGCTCCATTCTTATCGCTGTGCGAGCGTAATGCAAAGCAAATGAACAAACTTTCGTAAAATTGGTTAGCAGCAATGGATACACGCACTAAATCTCCATCACGGATCCCAAAAGGCCCCTCTGCGAGAATACTTGCTGGGCCTTGGTGGCGACGTAAGCATCCCTCGTGAAGATGGGAGCGGTCTTCAATTCATGGTCCCTGGAGTCTGGAGCATCCAGGGACAGATGTTGAAGAAGCTCGTGCTCGTCCTGTGGAGACGTAAGCCTTAGTTCGACTAGCAACATGTCGCCATTAAATTCTACATAGGACAAACCTTATCGGGTTGCATGTCCACATGTGCTAACGAGCTTGTAAGCGACGAGGCTGGTATAGATGAAGATATGCTGAGGCTTGATAGCCCTGACTGGATTCAAATTGATGTGAGTTGCCCGATCTGTCTCATTGAAGACGCATACATTAAGATCATCATGTGTCGCAAGCATCACTTTGGGACAATAGCGTAAGTGGAGTTTTGCAAAGGTGGGACCCAGATATGACTGAGAGACGAGAGCTGAAGTGTTAGGTAGCGTTTCCGGTGCTTATAAACGTTTTTCGGCGACCCGAATATGACGGCACCTGACTCCAACTTTGCGCGCCCGCCAAATGCGCCGCAGGCTGAGAACCACAACGTGTATTCGGCTCGTGTTTGAGGGTGCCTACCTTGGCGGAAGTTTTAATGCACGTGTTGTCCATCCAGCGCAGTTCCTTTGCGCGAGATTGCCGCTAGCTGCGCACTGAATGCGATAATGCGACTATCCCTGGTGCCTTCCTTGCATTGTGCCATGGCTCTACTGACATAAATCTTTTCACCACGACATGCGACACCAATCGCAAGCGTCAATTGAGCTGAGCAAACCACTTGGAACGGCGTCAATCCCATATCTAGAGTTCAAAACTTCAACCACCACAATACATGAGGTAGCGAGGTGCCCACCCGGTTTGCAAACAACAGTTCCTTGCTAGGGAATCAAGACGTTATAATTCGCCGAAGAACGTTTGCTGATCCGCCACCTGACGTTAAGCTTCGCCTTGACTCGTCGGATGCTAAGTCAATACCCAACTTCGCGGAAGCTGTCGGTCACGAAAGGCATCAGCCTTGATGGAATCATCACGCCGAGCTTCCGAATAGATGACAATGATGATCCGTTATTAGGGACCGCTGAGCAACTCAGCGTTGCTCGGAACGCGATCAACGATCGAAACCACAATATTGATCTCAGCGCACGTGAACCTACGTGAACGCGTCGCGGGGGGGAACTTTCTCGTATTTCCTCCCGCGAACCCTCCCACACATACCCGCGGCTCTTGATAGCAAATCCGTTCCAAAGTCCCAGATGGTCTGTTCCGGTGGCTAAGGATGGCGACCCAAAGAAGAGTAGGCGGCCAGCCAGGAAGGATGACGGCAAGTTAGAGATCGACTTGGAGAAGACAATGGGGAGGCCGGAGGCTGGTACATAATGCCAGCGCGCCGCAATAGTAGCGCAGCAACTAAAAGAATTGGGTGCGAGCGGAACGCAAAGACAATGACGAAAGAGGAAGGCTGCACGACCACTGGCAGCGGACGCAAAATCGATGAAGAAGCGCCCGAAAGTTCGCCTGCAGTCCCGAACGAGCAGCCAAGGTCCAAACAAAGTATGTAGACCTTCCAATGAGTCGCGTCTTTCGTCGATATCACAGAGCAGGAAGTGGCAGAGGTTCGTGGCTTCAAGATCGAGAAGGGAATTACTAAGTTGCAGCGCGGGCTGCCAGTAAACGATATCTCGGAAGGAGAACATTTTAGGAATGGCCAATTCCCACCCCCATCTCTTACTCACGTTGTCCTAGCTTAAGGGTCTGACACCATAACAGTGCGCATCGTGTAGTCCCCGTGTTGTGAGGCACGCACAAAGTCCGCACGCAAAGACAAAAGGGGCACGCTGCCCATGGCCAGGAGTAGGCACATTATCTGATAGTGGTAGTGATTATCTGGCGTGAACACGATGAAAGCAATCAAGATGTGAAATACATTATATGTGGCCAAATGACATGTACAGGGATATCAGCGAGAACAGCACGTCGCGAACAGCTTCAAATATTTACTCAGACCACCAGGATAGATGTTCCACCATCAGCAGTAATTCGCTGACGAGACTTGATGATGAGATATCGGCGTCCGAACTGGGTCAGCCGCTTCAAGTTTCCCGTCCTGGCGTCATCCTCGCGGGTGTCGCGGACCATACCCAGTCCGGATGGTGCAAGAACTATGGCCTCTCCAGTCTGGCAATCGCAAAATCAGCTCTGTGTCATTGAAGCTCGCTAGGCGCAAACTCACCCTGAGCTTGACAATCTGGTCGAACGTCTCTTCTGACACATTGGCCGAGACGTGTTTGGCAACATGTTCCCACCACGCTGGAGATGAGAATCTATGCAGGATTGCTAGGCTGCACAGGTCTAGTAACACTGCCGGCACCACAGTGGGCTCTACGGGTAAGCACATAATAGTGAGCGGCGGCGGCAGTGGATTACGAACTCAGTCACTTGCCCTGTGTACTAATGACCACACGCATGGCGAGGTGGCGTTGTTGCCGTATCAAGGACTGCAAGGCCTTTGTCAGCCCAGAATTGCCTTTGTTGGCGGCCAGGTACTGTATATGCAGCTTAGGCGCAAAAACGAAAAGGAGCGTGAACGTCAAACAAACCTTGTGCGCCTCATCGACAACGAGGACCTTTCCGGTTCCGATGTCAGCGCGGATGAAGATTCGCGTAATTACCTCAAATAAGCCGCAAGCTGCAGCTGGGTCGATAAATGGATCCGAGAGGTCGATAATTGTCAGTCGGCCCTCGGCAAAACGGGAGCTCTGGCCATGCTTCATGTTGGCAGTGTCGAGGAAACCCTCGAGGAGCTGCATGCGCAGCTTCAAACCAGCTCGCTGAGCAGGATTGAAGCCTTGCCTTTCTCCCTCGAGACGTGCCTTGAACTCTGCATATGTGAAGTTCTCCCCCATATCGCGCAGGATACTCTGTCATTTGGGATGTCAGCTGTGTTCAAGGAAGTGAGACTATATAATATACCAGGACGGTCTGCATATACAATGGCGCATTGTCGGAGGACCCGACGGCCATCAGGGACAAGAATGCCTGGGCATCGAGTTCCTCTTCAGAGAGCCTCAGAGGTTCTACGACAACTTTGCCCAGACGCCCATATACTTGCCTCATCGTGCTCAGCTGCGACGGCGAAACGTACACCTGCACAGGAGGCGCGGAGACCCCATCGATGCTACTGCTGGCCAGCCAAGCGGTTTCGTTAGGTAATGCTGTCTTTCCTCCTTCGCCGAAGTGGAGGACGAGGGCAGACAAGGCCTTTTGAGTTGCACCGATTGGCGAGAACCGAGGAATCAGCATATTCTCAAGCAACACCGAAACGGTGTGCGATTTTCCTGAGCCTTGAACGCCGCATATGATCGCCGATAGGGGAGCGTTCTAAGGAATGATTGGTTCGGTTCAGATGAAAGCCTTACGAGTCATGTCAATGCCGCACTGACCGTATTAAAGTAGAGCCTAGGATCGCTCGGGACTTCCCGGCTACCTTTTCCGCTAGTAGGTGGTCTTCAATGTGCGCGGCAGGTCGTCAAGTTCATAACGCACTCACTTTATGGACAATATGGCACCAAGGACACCATACTGAGATGGCCGCTGCGTGAATCCAGCCGACACGAATGCCTCCTGCGTGAGGACGGGCGCAGTCTGGTACTCATGGTCTTCAGCTTGATCATGAGTCGACGAATCTTTCAAAAGCGCCAACTCCTCCTGTCAATACATCGCATGACTGCGCTGCCTTGGCTAACAGCATTAGGCGCTCACAGTCGCAAAGGTGGATCCTGAGTGGGCAGGCTGAAGTCTCATGAGAATGGGCACAACATTGCATATCACTTGAAGACACGTACTGTTCCACTCCTGGAAACAGGCGACGGTAGCGAAGGCTGCCACAGAAAGTCGAGGTCGAGTTTACCATCAGTCGAACCTGCCGGTCACTGAGAATAATATCGCGCTGCCGTACCCTGCTCGTTGCGTGCTCCCACGACATTGAGTGAGGACCATCATCAATACCCATGAGAAATTGTGCTAGTATGCGTGATCGCGCGTCAAAAGAGGAATGAGAGAAGGTCTTCAAACGGTGACGGTCCTCTGGAGTTCTACTCGTTGTGGATCAACGTGGCCCACGCTGCTCTTTTATGCGTTGTAGCACGCTTCTCTTATTCGCCCGCTGATTTTCGTGACTCATCTTAATAATATAGAGGCGCCGAACATTTGCGAATTACCAACATGCGCATTGGGACTTTTTGACGTATGTGGCACCAGCTGCACCATTCGTCCCTGGTGTGCCTCGGAGGAGAATAGAGCGCGCGAGGCTGATCGCGACGCGACTCTTTCAAAGAACGGCGTGGGCGCTGTCGCGAGAACGCTCTCTTCCCCAATCAACTTACGCACAGAGCCCATCTCGACCTCGAGGCACGCTAAGACGCGACGTGTTTGGTGTGACCCACCATGTTGGCCTATAGTTGAAGCTCAGGGAGGTCTTCACACTGCCATCAACATGCTGGATGAGCATGTGCAACATCTGAACGTTTCCGACGGGAAAGTGATGGGCCCATCAGGGTGCCTCTTTTCTACAGGAGGCTTTCATCGTTAATTTATCCGGAGGAGTATCAGCTTATACATACTACCGAGTGCGACAGCACCACATCGCCGCAGGCCACATCCCGAAATCTCTGGGAGCCACAGCTTCAGTCTTGAAAGCTTGACTCACGAAACGTCCATTCCAAGCGCTCTGCTTTCAAAGTTTATCTGTCGCACAAAGCAAGAAACTGCCCCGATGAGTCTTCCGAATACGATGATGATGGTCCAGAATTCGGTTATAGGAACGCAGCAACTCAGCGCTCAGCGTTGCTCTGCGATCGAAAGCAGAATATTGATCTCAAAGCCACGTGAGCGCGTCGCCGGGGGAGCTCTGTATCTCTTCCCGCGAACCCTCCACGCACACCCGCGGCTCTCGATGACGAATCTGTTCAAAGTCCCAGGATGGTCTGTTTCGGCAGCTCCAGTGGCTGAGCACAGCAACCCAAAGAAGAGAAAACGGCCGGCGGGGAAGGATGAGGACAAGGTCCAGACGGCAGAGATCAACTTTGAGAAGTTGATGGCGAAGCTGGAGACTGGGGCTGCCGGCGCACAACAATCGTCGCGCAACAAAAAGAAGAAAGGAAAGGAGGCACAGGAGGAGAGCAAAGGCAATGACGGAAGGAGGAAGCCTCGGGTACGCGACCAGCACGAGCATACAACAAAAGCCGAGGCGAAGCAGAAGGAGAAGAAGAGGGATCTGACCAAAAAACCACCTGCGACTCTAAGCGAGCAGCCAAAGCCCAAAAAGCGAAGAAAGGGAGGACTTTCAACCGACTCGCAGGATATTATCGACACTACGGAGCAAGAAGCGGCAGAAACTGGTGGTTCCAAACACGAGAGAGGGCTTACTGCGCTGCAACGTGGGTTGAAAAATAGCTTGGAAGGAGCACGTTTCAGGTATGGTCAATCGCATTCCTATCCTGACTCTTCCTCACTCAGTCATAGATGGATCAACGAACAGCTGTACAAGTCGGACAGCGAACATGCTCATCAGATGATGCGCGAGAACCCCGCAGTCTACGAGGAGGTCGGTGACCCGCGTGTACCATATCCTCTCTGCATAGTATTCACATCCATGCGCACATGATACCCAGTACCACACCGGTTTCCGGCATCAAGTCCAATCCTGGCCCACCAACCCCGTCTCTCACTACATCTCCGCACTATCATCCTACCCCCCAAAGACCGTCGTTGCGGACCTTGGATGCGGAGATGCCGCACTCGCGCGTGCACTCACACCCAAGGGCATGACCGTGATCTCCTTCGACCTCGTGTCCGATGGAATATACATCGTCGAAGCCGACACATGCACGAGGCTTCCGCTGCCTGGCTCGGAAGTCGGTGGCGCTGACGGTGGCGCGGCAGGGAAGGACGAAGGCGAGGGCAGCGTGGTCGACGTGGTGGTCTGTGCGCTGAGTTTGATGGGGACGAACTGGCCGGGGTGTATTCGGGAAGCGTGGCGTGTTCTGCGGCCTAGGTTTGTCCCTGGTTGTGCTTCCCTGTCAGTGGATGAGACGGGGTGTTCTGACTTATGGTTCCTATCCTGTTCATCTGCTCTTATTATTAGTGGCGAGCTGAAGATTGCGGAGGTGGCCAGCCGATTCACGGATGTGGATGATTTTGTTTCCTTCGTGTGCTCATTCGGTTTCCGGCTTAAGTCGAAGGTAAGGTTTGCTCGCCATGATTGTGTACTCATTTCAGAAACTCACGGGCGACAAATTAGGATGATACCAACAGCCACTTCACGCTCTTCGAGTTCAAGAAAATCGCGCGCAAACCGAAAAGTCAGAAGGAGTGGAGCAAGCTGCTGTCTCGCGGCAGCATACTGAAGCCATGTGAATACAAGCGACGATGAGCAAGTAGCGTTATTCCCATACGCGATCCACCGGCTACATCTCTTCCCTATCTGCACACCCTGTACGTCCAGCGAGCACCCCTTCACCAATTGTATTCATAGCATACCCGCTCCCGTCCATGCTTGGAATGACAGGCGAAATTTGTCTCATTGTATTGCTCATGAAATTCAGAGGACAAAATGCGCCGCGTGTATACCACAAAACTGTGCAACGCCGCGTTGGAATAGAAGCTCGCGCTGTCGAGTCAGAGCATAGCAGGAGCTGTTTAAGCATAGCCTTGTACCCTGGGTGACCCTGAATGAGCTCGGGCTCCGCTTCCCGCGAATCTATCTGAGGCAGCAACGCCGCAGTCATTACGATGATCACAACCGAATGGCAAACCATCACGCAAATGGAGGGACGGGAACGGTGCGCTCCTCTCTCGCACTCCGATACGCGAGCTCGATCATCTCGATTACGTCGCTCGCTTCCTCCCACTTGACCACCTGTGCCTTCCCCTCCCGGATCGTCTCCGCTAGGTTCACGAACAGCGCGGCGTAACTCCCCCTCTCGCTCGTCGACCACCTGCATGCTGTCACGAAAGATTCATTCGAGAACATGATGTACACACGTACGTCGTCCGCGAGACGGCCCCGTCCGCCGCGAGGTTCTCCAGCGTGCCCCAAAGCTCCTCAGGCTCCCTGCCGTAGGAAGGCGAGTCGACGATCTCTGTCGGGCTAGCCATCGCCTTGAGCTGCGCTTCCTGCACGTCGATGCCGAACTTGGTGTACGTGCCGGTGGTGCCGCGCACTACGTAGCGCAGCTGGGGCGAGCGCACGGACAGGATGTGCGAGCGGAGGATCACCGTGAGCGATGTCGGTTGCACGTCTGTGTGCACAGCGGCAGGGCGGGGCGGGTAGCGGAGGAAAATCGTGAACTGCCGTCAACGAACAATCGTGTTATCAGTGCACAATACTCATGATTGCAGCAATTGCTCACACAGTCGTCCACCTCTTCGCTGCCGACGCCTCGCACATTCTCGATGAACGCAGTGATCTTCTCCGGACGCCCGAACAAGACGAGAGCCTGATCGATGAGGTGCGAGCCAAGGTCATACGTGAGGCCATTCGCCGGCGCAGGCACGTCCTTCCAGCTGTTCCTGATCGTCGTCCGGTAGCGATCATACCTACGCGTTACGCGTTCAACGTTCCGCATGCGGCCCTCCCGCTGTCCCGCCACAGTGGAAGACTGCTCACCGGGACTCGAACTCGACGAGCGTGCCGAGCGAGCGCGGGTCGTCCGGAGGGAGCGCGAGCAGCTTGCGCAGGGCGAGGAAGTCGGCGTTGAAGCGGCAGTTCTGGTATGGGTACAGGACGAGCCCTCTTGCTTTGGCGAGCGCGGCTAGCTCGCGGGCTTCGGCTGCTGTGGCTGTCACAGGCTTGTCGACAAGGACTGTACCAGCATGTGAGTCGGTCTTTGCTTCGAGCAGGATGTATTGCTGGGAACCAGCTGGTGCGCGTCAAGGCGCGTCCGACGGCAGCGCACCAGTAGCACCCGCGCTCACAACCATCTGACACTGTTCAACTGTGATGGGCAGCCAGCACTCACCATGCTTCCCCGCCTCCAACCCCCTCCTCGCCAGCTCGCAATGCATCCCACTCGGCGTACTCACCACAACCAGCTCCACCTCCCCATCCCCCAGCACCTCCGCCAGCGTCCGGTAAACCCTCACGTCTCTTGCGATCGCACCAAAGCGCGCTGCGACCTTTCCTTTGGGCTGCGCGGGATCGGGCGTGCGTTCGAGGACGGCGTGCAGGGTGAAATGTGCGGGGAGCGCGAGCAGGAAGGGGATGTGGAAGGTGAGTCCGCCTAGTCCGAGGCCGAGCACGGCGGTCTTGATGGGGCGGGTGGGCATGTTGCTAGGGGAATGTGGGTTATGGGACGTGGTGGAGGTGGTCGTCGAGAGGTGAGGCGTCTATGGTGCTATCTCACGTCGATGGTTCGTGAGAGCGGCGAAGCAGAGTTGTTGCTTAGTGCATGTGCAGAAGCAGCAATAACTTTGAGATGTTTCTGGGCTGATCATCGAGCAGCAACAACTGCAATAGTCGTATTCCAAATGAATGTCATTCCCAAAGAGTATCAACACATATGTGTATGAGCACCCACAGAGCATTGTCAGCATACTTTTACAAAATATTAGTACTTTTCACTTATTCTCTTTCCTGATCTGCGCCTGCATCGATGCATTACGATCTGGTCGGGACGACAACCGTGCGCTCCTCCTTCGCACTCCTGTATGCAAGCTCGATCAACTCAATCACCTCTGCTGACTCTGCCCACTTGACTGCCTGCTCCTTGCCCTCTCGAATCGTCTTTGCAAGATCAACAAACAGCGCGCTGTAGTTCCCGCGCTCCGTCGATGGCCACCTGACATACAACCACACACGCCCTCAGCTCTCTTCTTCTCAACACACAAAGCGAGCGAAAAATGCACTTACGGAGACTTGATCACCTTGTCGTCCTCTGCCAGGTTCTCCACGGTTCCCCAGATGTCCTTTGGCTCGAGGCCGTACGTGGGGAGCGACGTGATCTCGGCAGGGTGCCGGATGACCTTGAGCTGGTCCTCCTGCACGTCCACGCCGAACTTGATGTACGTCCCGTGCGTGCCGCGCACGACGTAGCGCACCTGTGGCGAGCGTACGGAGAGGATGTGTCCACGGAGGATGCATGAGAAGGACGTTGGCTGAAGCGAGCCTGGCGGGGAGGCGGGGCGTCGGGGATAGTGAAGGAAGATCGTGAACTGCACGAGTTGGGAAGTCAGCCTAGGATCGGGAGTGAAGACGAATTGTGAAGAGACGTACGCAGTCGTCAACCTCCTCATGCCCAATGCCACGAATGTTTTCGATCATAGCGGTAATCTTGGTCGGCCGCCCGAAAAGCACTAGCGCCTGGTCAATGAGATGTGCACCGAGGTCGTACGTGAGGCCGTTGGCGGGAATGGGCAGGTCCTTCCAGGTGTTCTTCAGTGTCGTGCGGAAGCGGTCAAAGCTGCGCAATGTGTGCTCAGCGGTTATGTGCGGATGGAGGGATAGTTGCATACCGAGACTCGAACTCGACGAGGGTACCAAGAGATCTGGGGTCGGAGGAAGGCAGGTCGAGGAGTTTCCGGAGGGTGAGGAAGTCCGAATCCCAGCGGCGGTTCTGGAAGGGATAAAGGACGCGCTGCTTGATCCTCGCGATCTCACCGAGTTCGTATGCCTCTGCAGCGGTCGCCGTGACAGGCTTATCCACCAGCACTGCACGTCCCGTCGAGTCACTCGCATGAGCACACACGCCCGCACGATGAGACGCGACGCACCATGCTTGCCCGCCTCGAGCGCCTGCTTCGCGAGCGCGTAGTGCGTCTCGCTTGGAGTGCTGATGAAGATGAGCTCGATCTGCGGGTCCGCGAGGACCTCCTCGTAGGTGCGGTAGATGGCGACGCCCTTGGCTGCCTCTGCGCCGAAGCGAGCGGCGAGCTTGCCTCCAGGACGTTCGGGATTCCGCTCGAGGACGGCGTGGAGGGTGAAGTACTTGGGGTGCGCGAGGACGAAGGGGATGTGGAAGGTCATGCCACCGAGGCCGACACCGATCACGGCGGACTTGATGGGCTGGAAGGACGACATCGCGAGTGTGGGGGCCGAAAGCGACGACGGCGAGCAAGTGCTGTTATATCGCCACGGGCTGGTCGGGCCGCAGGATCAGCTGCTTGGCGTATCCCGTCCGCGGTCTTCTCCTTTTGGCAGGTCGACTCAGGTCGCAGAGTCAAGGGCGCATCCCTGGAGTATTCACGCTCAAGCTCAATCAATCGCGCGCGATCTTCCACATTGGAAGAAAAGCACTAATGTTTGTTCTCTCGCGTCCGGAACAAACAGGACTCAAACGAGCAGCAAGGGAAGATCAGGCATCTCCAGAACGGTCACCTTACAGGAACAGCACGTAGTGGAGATATATTTAAGAACATGATGGTTATATGCGAAGTGATATGTTCCGGAAACAAATAAGAGGTCTACAGTCTACTTGCAATAATGGCATAGCTGCAGTGCTGGTATAAGGCACCTCGACCCACAGACGCGACACCATTTGCTTAGTACACCTGTGAACAACGCATCAGCAAGGCAATGTCACCCAAAGAGTAAATCACGCTCACCTCAAGGACGTAGCGCTCCTCCTCCTTCAAGCCCTCCAGGAATGCACCCGACCGCGTCGCATCCTGACCCGTCCTCTTCACCAGTGCCCCCACCAACGCTTCATACACATCCGGCACAGGCCACGTCGGCCCGCACAAATAGAACACGCCGTTATCGTCCCACAGCATCCGCGCCAGGTCATCCGCGTCCTCCTTCATTTTGTGCTGAATGTACACCTTGTGCGGCCCATCCCGCGAGAACGCCAGTCCCGCCTTCGTGATCACACCATCAGTCAGGAATGCTTCTAGCTCCTCGCCGTACAGATACTCCTGCGACCGATGACGCGAGCCGAAGTAGTAGTACGTCGGTCCGACTGGGATGTCCTGCGACATGAGCCAGGCGCGATACTGCAGGAACGCGCGGAAGGGTGCAGCGCCAGTACCGAGACCGGCCATGATAATGGGCTGCATGTTGTCTGGAGGAAGCTGCAGGACGACGTCAGCCAAAGATCTGACGACCGGCTTGCCGCGTTCTTACCTTCATGACGCTCGGCCTGAGGGAGACAGTAACCTTCTGGCCAGGCTTAAGCCCTGCGAGATACCTCGTGCACTGACCATAGCGAGGAGTGCCTACGGAAGGACAATCTTGAGCATCGTCTCACATGCAGTACACAAGGCATACGTACCCGTTGGCGTCGCCCAATCCACAGCAACGACCAATAGATCAATCTGGTCACCAACAACAGCCTGCGCACTCGCGATACTATAATGCCTCGGCTTAATATCGCCCACGAGCTCGCACAGCACCTCGACTCCCGGCCTCGCGCTGGGATACCTCCTCAGCACATCCGCGAACGTCACCGTGTCCTTCTCGCTCAGCTTCTTAAACGTCGCCGAACCCTCGGGGCTGCCAATGAACCGCAACGCATACTTCTCGCCCTTCTGCGTCGCATACTCCGCAAGCTCCGTGTAGAACTGCTTGCCCGGCTTGCCGAACAGGTCGACTTGCTGCTGGAGCGCCTGGAACACCGTGCGCGTGTGCATGCGCGTGCCGTCCGAGGTCGGGACGGGGATCGTGATGAGCCTGTTCGGGTCGACGCCGTACCACGCGCAGAACTCGAGCACCTCGTCCGCGTCGTTCCACCCGTGCACGCCGAGCGCCTCGCCGATCTCGTACTTGAGCCCTGTCCCGCGCGTGTCGAACTCGAGATGGAACACGTTCCGGTCGTAGTCGAGCGGCGTCAGCCGCCGGTTCACCGTGCAGGTGACGAGGTACGTCCGGTCGGACACCTCGGGATGCAGTGCAGGGTTGCGCGCGTGCGGGTCGTCGTACGAGGAGGAGGACTGCAAATCGGGCGGCGTGAAGGCCGAGGGGAAAATGATGTGCTTCGCAGCGTCGTGCCATGACCCGAGGCGCGCGCCGTTGACGACGGTCTCGCCCTCGTCCGTTTCGACGGCGATGGCGTTAAACGTAAAATTCTTGAGCTCGGTAGCCTTCGAGGTTTCAGCTTCGTCGGTCTGCTCAGGCGGAGGGATCTCCACTTCGACGAGACCATTCCACGCCCAGTCACCCAACTTCGCGAGGGACACGCCCTGCACGAGATCGCCGACGGTAGCGCGAACAAGCTTGATGACCAGCTCTTCGCTGGCAGCCCCTCCCAGGTACAAGCGGAGGAATGCGACCTGCAGCACGGCGTTCTCGAGCGCCTCCAACGCCGCTGGATCGCTCTCACCAGTGCTCGCAACGAGAGCCTTCGGGTCGATGGTGCAGACGCGCAGCTTCCTCTCGCGGATGATAGAGATCGTCGAGGGTGGCAGGCTGGAGACTAGCTCCTCCGCAGTCCACGAAGTAGCCACGAGGACAGGAGCGCCACGGACAGCGTGCGAGACAATTGCATGCGACTTGAGGAGTGCTTGGTCAAGAACCGCGACAAAGTCCGCCTCGCCGGCACTCTCCGGTGTTAGCGGGAGGGCGAGAGATACAGGGACATACGGCGCTGTGTCGTCCTTCCGCGAAAGAACGAGGCGGTCTGCCGCAATACCGCCCGGCTTGGAGAAGACGTCGTACTCGGTAAGCAGACGCGCCGAGAGGACGTTGCGAACCACGAAAGTCTGCTCCACTGCACGCGGGAGCGAGGACAGCGGCGAGCCCGGGGTGCTGAAGAACACGACTTTCTTCCCTGTGTTGGGCCCCAGCGCCGGCGCAATCTTGACCTGCGCAAGCTCGGACACAAATTCAGCGAACGTGGCCGGCTTCTCGAGGAACTCCTGCGTGCGCCTGGGGACGATGCGATGCGACTTGACGATGGGGCCGGGGCTGAGCGGGTCGAGCAAGGACGAGAAGACGTCCATGTACAGCGCGCCCTGGGCGGATTCGGTGGGGACGTCGTCCAGGACATGAATGCGCTTGACGGAAGCAGGGAGTGCGGCGCGGAGGGCCTCTTCGTCCCATGGGCGGAGCATGCGCACGACGAGGACACCCAACCCGGAGACGCGGGACGCGAACGCCTTAGCGGCGAGGGCGAGAGGCCCATTCAGAAGGACGAGGACAGTGCTGGCGTCACGGTCGCCGGCATAGTCGAAGGCGCTATACCCCGCCTTGCTCAGACCCTCCTTCACAGAGAGGCCCGGCTCGGGTTCGGGTAGGGTGGGAGTGACGACATGGCCGGTTTCGCGCGCCGCGCTGTGATGGTCGAATAAATGGATGACGTGAGAGTCGGTCAGCTTGTACGAGAGCGTGGTGAGGTCTACGGTCTCGCGCGGGGTTGCTGAGAGGATCACGGCGAAGCTCTCCGGGAGGATCGCGAGCGCTGGTGTGAAGGACGCGAGTGTGGGCGACAGTGCGAAGCTTTCGCCGACGGGCGTGACGGTCGGGACTTGGAGGATCAATCTGCTGCTCGCGGTGGGCGAGGGGAGATACGAGAGTGACTGCACCATAGCAGCCAGGCCGGATGGGGTAGTGTACGCAGTGAGGACCGCACCTCTCGCCGCATCCTTGCTCGTTCCCTGCGAGAGCCTCCCGACAAGACTCAGGCCCGCACCCGCCCTCGTCTGCAGGCTGATAACAGACGCGACGTCGCTGCCGGAGCCCGCCCAGGATTTGGTGAAGGAACCAAACCCGACATGCTCTGCGAGGTCGTAGACGAAGACGGACGAGCTGGAGCTCGCGCGCGACGCGATGAACTCTACGGCGGTGGATGCGGAGATGAGTGCGCTCTTGATCGCGACGTCTTTTTCCTTCAGCAGCTCAGCCTGGAGCTTCGGCGAGGTCGGGACGGAGAGTGTGCTCGTCGATGAGAGCGGCGTGGAAGTTCCGGATCGCTCAACAGCGGACATTTTGCGAGGAGGAAAAGGTATGATACGGAGCCTCCGTTGAGAACATGGTGAATGTATTTTTTTCACTCTTATGCACGGAAGAGCGATCGGAAGGCGGACGGAAGGCAGGACGATTATGCGAGGATGGCGACATGGGAAAGCTCTGCACGTGACTCATCCAAGGCAGCGTTTTCCGCTGGTGGAATAACGCCATCATGGTGTTCTTTCGAAACCATTCGGAAATGAGCTCGTCTACGTCTCATCACTATTCCGTTCGCGATGGGAGGCGAGTAGCCCTGAAGCAGAGTCATTGCAAGAGGATTTATATATTACTACTAAGTAAGTACATCACCACAGATGCGGTTTTTACAGCGAGTGGGTCTTTTCAGATGCTTATTGTCTATGGGGTAATGTCATAATGACCTTCAATCTTTCAGCGTGTTGTACAAACGATCACCCTGCAGCATCCACGCAATCAGAACTATGTCACAAGAAAGCAAAGAGAACGAGTTCTTACAGTGTCGCCCAACCCGGGAGAGATCAAACCACGGCTCGTCAGCTCAGGGTCAACAGAGGATACCCAGATCTACGTCAAGTCAGTGACTGTCCACTGGATACGCGCGCGAGATGCTTACCTCAAGGTCGGGGGATTCCGTCGCTACACGTTTCAAGCCAGTCTGAGACGCGAGGATGCAAAGTAGTTTGATGCGCTTGACTGCAGAAATGTAAGCCCCTCGAACGTGACAAAGGTTTTGGCAGACACACTGGGCACGCCCCAATCAAGTAACATCTGCAACGCTGCACATGCTGTGCCTCCTGTCGCAATCAGCGGGTCCAGCAGGTACACGATGTCGGCTGTTACAGTCGATGGCAGCTTCGAGTAATCTGATGTCAACGGTCAGTTACTATCGTAGGACCACTGTATCGTATGAACACGCACACTCCACAGGCTGGAGGGTCGTCTTTTCCCTGAAGATACCTAAGTGGTGGACCTGCGCATTTCTGCTCAAGTCATGAGAACGGCAACAACGGTATCACCGAGGAGTGCCCAGCGCAACACGCACGGGAACAAGTTTAGCATGGCATCCGTCATGCCCATGCCTGCGCGCAAGACCGGGGCAAGCGCAATCCGATGCTTGATCGTTGTACCCGTGAATGAGCCGATAGGTGTTTGCTACATGACTCGACTTCGTTATCAGCAACGATACGGATTGCCCCTCGCGTTGGAAAGGGAGCACGAAGGCACATCGGCTCACCCCAGTGAACTGCTCCTCCTCCAGATCACGAGTGGCCTCAATGCCCAACATGAGACTGATGTTATGGATCCCCTAAAAGTGACGGTATTCATTGGACATGACATACTATGCGGGCTTTACAAGGAGACACAGACCTCGCGGAACTCCTTGGGTCCAGTTGTGGTGAGGCGCAGCTGGGATAGCCGCGTGTTGATGAGCGGGTGCTTCAGGACGTGGACGTTGTCGGGCATGATGGGAATAGGAGAAGAGCAAGGGGATGCGGATGCAAGACACGGTTTACGAAGCCTATATAGCCTATCGAGGTGGCAATGTACTTATCGTGCACGAGTCTATCATCCGAGCTTGCGTTCCTTGATGCCGTTTCCCCTGTTAGAACGTGATTGCCACCAAATTCGCGGACTCGGTTCTGATCGAGCGCTGCCACCGCAGCGGTGGCTCCGAGTCACACTGCAGGGTACTCGGTCATAAACTGTAGGCTTGAGCCACAAACATGTTGGTCGTTGCAACTGGGCAGCACTGCAAACCGTCTAGTAGCACGCTCCTCTACACACTGTAGTAAGTACTAACTCAGGCTACCTTTGAGCATGCGGGCCGCTATCATGACGGTCGCAACTCAAGCCAATGATACGAAACGTCTCACGTGAGTACATTCCCCTCCATCTAGTCTACCTACCTACACGCCCTCTCCGTCCTCCCCATTGTGCCCCAAACTGTCGTACATCAGGACATCAGCATAGCCGCTATCTGTCTTAGTTACAGCGTGCGGGATATAAATTGTATTCAAAAAAAAAAAAAGTCTCACGTGATACGGGCGCCTGTCTGTGCGACGCCGTTAGATCGCATGATTTTTCTTTCTCGTGTTATGGATTCTCTGTGGGGAGGCGTCCCCGTGTTACTTCCGTCCGCGTTCCTCGATACAGAGTCAGATTGCAAAGGAATTTAACGCTCGATGGAATCCCGCCTTGACTCTGACCATCTCCTGCTTGCTTCCTTGCCCAGACGAATCCCGGCCAGCACTAAATTTATTCGGGCCCTTTCTTGGTTGCCGCTAGAGTTTTGTCGCGATCTCGACAAGTGAGATGTTATCTTTGCGCAAAGTCCGGATGTTCATCTGGGGTGATATCCCGGAGACGAAGGCAGAGAGGACATTGCTCCTCAAGATCGACTGGTTTATTCTGTCGTATTGCTGTCTTATGGTATTCACCCTACATTGCGCATTTGTTCGATTGCGCGTGTGATAACCATTGCTTTGCTATGTGCAGTATTTCACCAATTGTGAGCTTCTTTTCCGTGGCCTGTGGCAAAGTGTTCCTGTTGTTTGTCAGAACATTTACCCACGAATTGGTCAACTTAGATCTCGATCGGAGTAACGTAGCAAATGCATATGTTTCTGGCATGAAAGAGGAGCTTCACATGCACGGAAATGAGTACAATGTGCGTTTGCAATCCTCCTAGCACTGAGAGCCGCGATCCTGAGGCATGCCGATGCAACAGAAAATTAACACCATTTTCACTTGTGGCTATATCGTCGGCATGATTCCGAGTAAGCTTTCTCTTCCAGCCCGCAGAGACAGGTTTTGACTATATGCCCATCCACAGATAATCTCATGCTGCAAGTGGTTTCCCCGCGTATCTGGTTGCCGACTATGCAGATTGTATGGGGCGTCTTGACGTTCTGGTGTGCTCTCTGAAATACTACCAGTTTGCTGAAAAAATCTGATGTTAATTTGTATGGCAGCTCAAGTGCTGTAAAGACCGTCCACCACGTTCGTCTAGTGCAATTTTCTGTACATCAACCAAATGACTGACACTGCAACCCGCCATCTTAGCTTTATGCGATCCGCTTCTTCCAAGGCGTTACCGAGGCATCCACGTTCGTTGGCACGCATTATATTCTTGGATCGTTCGTGTTGCTTCTGCGAACATTTTCTGCGAGACACTGAACATCTATATGCTTGCAGGTGGTACAAAACGGGCGAGCTAGGGAAGCGCTCCGGCATATTCACTAGTTCAGGTCTTATCGGCACATTGTACGTCCCTCCCTTGCCCCTCCCCCCTGGGTCGTATTGCGAGGACGTATTGACCGAATCGCGGACGATCAGGTTCTCCGGCGTACTGCAAGCTGCAGTGTACCAGTTCGTTCAGTACATCTTATATGAGCCGAGACAGTTTTCAACTGACACATGTCCTTGCCAGGCATCTCAACGGCGCAGATGGCCGGAGCGGCTGGCGTTGGTTGTGCGTCCTTACGCTAGCTTTGCATCACGCCAGTGATACTGAAGTGATGTTGCGCAGGTTCATCATCGACGGCGTGATCACCCTGCCTATTGCGCTCTACGGATTTCTCGTCTTCCCGGACGTCCCTGCCACCACACAAGCATTCTATCTCACCGAAGAGGTTTGTATGTCTTGATGGCTCCTGTTTTCTCCAGTTCTTGACGTGAATTCTAATATATCAATTGTGCTGAAGGAACGCCAACTCGCTTGCACGCGCCTCGAACTGAGCAAAATCACTAGTTCATTCGACTCAGCATCGGTTTCGGAGAGTACTCGCAGAGTTGGCGCACACGGACGCCCAACATGGGACCTCGCAAAGAGGGTGCTAAGCCGCTGGCGGTGGTATGGATGCAGTCTCCTCGTACGTAGTACTTATTCAATGTGGACTTCGATCGCCAACGGGAGTTTCACTGCGCACAGTTCGCTGTATCGGGAGAGACCGAAAGCTTCGGCTCCAACAACCTCATGGGCCAGTGGCTCGCGGCGGTCGGGGGATACTCCGTCGAGGAGATCGGTGCGCACTACCTTCGTGTCCATCCTACGCGCCGCGTGTGACTGATCACGGATTCTGCAATATTACAGATTACTATCCGTGTGGCGTGACCGCGGTGGGCATCGCGTCGACGCTCGTCTGCGCGACGTGGACAGACGGGACACGCTCGCGCGCGCGGTGGCCTGTGCTGGTGTACATGTCTCTGGCGGTGATCGTCGCGAGTATTTGTTTATTGGTGTGGAGCAGCGCCACGGGGCTGAAGTTCTTTGCATATTGTGAGTGGCGCGTTGGTGGATATCTTGAGATCTGTTCTTGATGCTGATTCATGGGTGGTAGATTTGGCGGGGGCGAGTTATTCGGGTCAGGCGACGACGTTTGCGTGCGTGTCCAGTTATTAGATCGGAATTATTACAGATATGTAATGACCCTGTATGCAGGTGGGCCAACCAGATATGTTACGACGATGATCAAGAACGCGCAATTGTCCTCGCATCTATGAAGTGTGTCGCCTCTTCTTTTGTACCCTCCCCTTCCTCTCACGTTACCCCCACCTCGCCATCCGCAGTATGTGGAACAATGTCATCAACGCCTGGTGGCCGCTCATCTTCTACCCCGCGACGGACGCTCCGCGCTTTCACAAAGGTATGTGGGCCATGATCGGCACGGGCCTCGCGACGCTCCTCGTCACGTTCTTCGTGTGGTACATGGAGCGCAGGGAGAGGCGGATGCGCGCTGAACAAAGGGATGGAGAGCAAGCAAGACAAGAAGGAGCGGGCGAGAAGGGTGAGAAGGAAGACGACGAGAAGAGCGTGAGGGCTCTGGAGAAGGAGGGGTTGTGAGCCGGTAGATTGTTCATTGCTGTGGTTCAAGTTGGCCTTCTTGGCTGGGTTCTCATGTCACTCATTAATTGTAGCCATAGAAACTTGCAACCTTCACCTTGGTTCTGAACTTCATCTCCGATGCAAGTCAGCCAGTAAAGGACACAGCGAAGGTATATAAGATTCCTGGCCAATCCGAACGAGCAAAACGAACGTCATCATGCATATACAACAAGTTCGAGATCTCAGTACACATCGAAATCCATTATTCAAGCTTGCACGAGCGCAGACGCCCTACATGCCATCCACCCAGTCCGTCGTCTGCACTCTGCGTATTTATTCCTTGAACTACGTCGGCCGCTTCTCATGCACGAGAGGGGCGCGAAGACACAGCGGTTCACCCCAGTGAACTGCTCTCTTCCAGACCGCGAGTGGCTTCAATGCCCAACACTGTGAGGCTGATGTTATGGATCCCCTAACAGTGATAATGTTCGTTAAACACAACACACTATGCGGGCATTTACAAGCGGGGACACAGACCCTATCGAGGCGGCCACAATGTACTTATCGTGCACGACATCAAGGTGGTCTACCAACTTCGCGGATTTGGTTCTGATCGAGCGGCCGATGCCACTGCAGCGTGCACGGTGCAGGATGCGGTGACTTTCGCACTAGCCTGCAGGGTGCTCGGCCATAAACCGTCTTGAGCCACAGACATGCTGGTCGTTGCTGGGCAGCAGCATACCGTCTAGTACGCACCTCTACACTGATAGCTCTAGCGTGCGGCCCGCTATCCATCATTATGAAGTTCGCAAATGTCCCATGTGATACGGGCGCCTGTCTGTGCGACGCCGTCAGATTGCCGCATGTTTTGTCTTTCTCGTGTCATGGATTCTCTGTGGGGAGGCGCCCCCGTGTCATTTCCGTCCGTATTGCGCGATTCAGAGTCGGACGAAGAGATGTATAAACGCTCGATGGAAGCTCGTCTTGACTCTGACAATCTCCTGCTTGCTTCGACGAAACCGGCTAACAGTAAAGTTGTTCGGGTGACGCTAGAGTTTTGTCACGATCTCGACAAGTGATATGTTATCATTGCGCAAAGTCCGGATGTTCGTATGGGGTGATATTCCGGAGACGAAGGCGGAGAGGGCACTGTTGCTCAAGATCGATTGGTTTATCTTGTCTTATTGCTGTCTCATGGTATTCAGTCTACACTGCGCGTCTGTTCGATTGCGCACGATAACCATTGACATGCTGTGTGCAGTACTTCACCACCTGTGAGCTCTCTTCCGTGACAAAGTATTCCTTTCGTCCGGGCGTTCATCCACGAACTGATCGACTTAGATCTCGATGGGAGTAATGTAGCAAATGCATATGTTTCTGGTATGAAGGAGGAACTTCACATGTATGGAGATGAGTACAATGTACGTTTGCAATCCTCCTAGCACCGAGCCACTATCCTAAAGGCCTACCAATGCAACAGAAAGTCAACACCATGTTCACCTGTGGCTACATCATCGGCATGATTCCGAGTAAGTTTCCCCTTTCTGCTCTCAGAGACAGGTTTTCACTGTATGCCTGTGGGCCACAGATATCCTCATGCTGCAAGTGGTCTCCCCACGCATCTGGTTGCCGACTACGCAGATTGCATGGGGTGTTTTCACTTTCTGGTATGCTGCCCGAAAAGGCCGTCAGTTTGTGGAAGATCTGATATTGATTCTCTATGACAGCTCAAGTACTGTGAAGACTGTCCACCAGGTTTGTCTAGTGCATCTTCTGTATACCAATCCACCTGACTGACACTGCAACCCTCCATTTCAGCTTTATGCGATTCGCTTCTTGCAAGGCATCACCGAAGCATCCACGTTCGCGGGCACGCATTATATTCTCGGATCGTTCGTGTTGCTTCTGCGAATGTATTTTGTGAGACACTGAACATCTATGTGCTTGCAGGTGGTATAAGACGGGCGAGCTCGGAAAGCGCTCCGGCATCTTCACCAGCTCAGGTCTGATCGGTACCCTGTACGTCGCCCTCTGCCTGGTGTTGAGAGGACGTCTTGACCGAGTTGCGGACGATCAGGTTCTCCGGCGTACTCCAGGCTGCAGTGTACCAGTCTGTTCAGTGCATCTTATATGAACCGAGATAGTTTTCGGCTGATACATGTGCTTTCCAGGCATCTCAACGGTGCAGATGGCCGGAGCGGCTGGCGCTGGTTGTGCGTCTTTACGCAAGCTTTGCGTTAAGCCAGTGATACTGAAGTGATGCTGCACAGGTTCATCATTGACGGTGTGATCACGGTACCTATCGCGCTCTATGGATTCCTCGTCTTCCCGGACGTCCCTGCCACCACACAGGCATTCTATCTCACCGAAGAGGTTCGCACGTCTTGATAGCCCTGTTTTTCTCCAATTCTCGACGTGAATTCTGATGTATTAAGTTGTGCTGCAGGAACGCCAGCTCGCTTGCACGCGCCTCGAACCGAGCAAATCCGCTAGTGCATTCGACTCAGCATCGAATTCGGAGAGTGCTCGCAGAATCGGCGCACACGGACGCCCCACATGGGATCTCGCGAGGAGGGTGCTGAGCCGCTGGCGGTGGTATGGATGCAGTCTGCTTGTGCGTATTGGCTTCCTCGCCTGGCACTGCAGGCAATTTTCCGTTTCGCTCACGACAAGCTCTACCACACACAGTTCGCCGTATCCGGAGAGACCGAGAGCTTTGGCTCAAACAACCTCATGGGCCAGTGGCTCGCAGCAATCGGGGGATACTCCGTCGAGGAAATCGGTGCGTCCCAGCTTCGTGTCCATCTTGCGCGCTGCGTATGACTGATCGCGTGCTCTGCAATGTGGCAGATTACTACCCGTGCGGTGTGACCGCCTTAGGCATCGCGTCGACGCTCGTCTGCGCGACGTGGACCGACGCGACACGCTCGCGCGCGCGGTGGCCTGTGCTGGTGTACATGTCTCTGGCGGTGATCGTCGCAAGCATTTGTTTATTGGTGTGGAGCAGCCCCACGGGACTGAAGTTCTTTGCATATTGTGAGTAGCATGCTTGTGGAAGGTCTTGAGATCTGTGCTCGGTGCTGATCTATGGACGGTAGACTTGGCGGGGGCGAGTTATACGGGTCAGGCGACGACGTTTGCGTGCGTATCTGCTATTAGACCGGAGATACTATAGACCTCTAAGGACCGTGTGTGCAGGTGGGCCAACCAGATATGTTACGACGATGATCAAGAACGCGCAATTGTCCTCGCATCTATGAAGTGTGTCTTCTCTTTTCTTTTGCACCCTCTCTTCCTCTCACGTTGCCCTCATCTCGCCATCCGCAGCATGTGGAACAATGCCATCAATGCCTGGTGGCCGCTCATCTTCTACCCCGCGACGGACGCTCCACGCTTCCACAAGGGCATGTGGGCCATGATCGGCACGGGCCTCGCGACGCTTCTCGTCACCTTCTTTGTGTGGTACATGGAGCGCAGGGAGAAGCGGATGCGCGCTGAACAAAGGGATGGAGAGCAAGCAAGACAAGAAGAAGGAGCGGGCGAGAAGAGCGAGAAGGAAGACGACGAGAAGAATCTGACCGGGGCGCTGGAGAAGGAGGTGTTGTGAGCCAGTACAATGTTCATTGTTGTGGTTCAAGTTGGTCTTCTTGGACGGGTTCTCGTTTCATTCGTTGTAGCCATAGAAACTTGCAACCTTCATCTTGGTTCTGAACTTCATTTCCGATGTGGCAAGCTAGCCAGTAAAGGACACAGCGAAGGTATATAAATTCCTGGCCAATCCGAACGAGCAAAACGAACGTTATCATACATATACAACAAGTTCGAGATCTCAGTACACATCGAAATCCATTATTCAAGCTCGCACGAGCGCAGACGCCCTACACGTCATCCGCCCAGTCCGTCGTCTGCACTCTGCGCATGTATTCCTTGACCCACGTCGGCCGCCTCTCGTGCACCTGCGTGAGCGCCCTCGCCTTGGCCGCCTCGTCCTGACCAGCTGTGCTTGCGCTCTCACTCCCACTCGTACTCGTCTCGCTCTCAGCGTTCCGCGCCGCTTCTATTGCACTCGCCTCCGTCCGTAAGCGGCCTTCCCGACGGCGCAGAGCCGCACGACGATGATCCCACACCGCAGGGTGAAGCGTCAGCAGAAGCAGCGCCACGAACGACTTGATCCTATGGCTGAGGCTCGGCGGACGTACAGGCGCTCCGGAATCCAGGATCCTCTCTTCCCCGCGCAGGTTGAGGCTCGACAGGCCATTGAGGACGGCATGCAGCTGGCGGTTCGCGCGCGCTGCACCCCGGCGGTGGCGGTTCTGCCCGATCGCGCCGTTCCCATGTTGCTCGCCACCTCGTACGTCCGCGGCGCCGTCTCCGCCCGCGGGCCGCCGATCACGCCGCTCGCGCTCAAAGATCATGCGCACAACGCCCCAGCCCTCGTAGAGGATCCACGCGCTCAGGATAAGTGCAAAGAATGGACGGCGCGAAGGTGAGAAGAAGTACAAGAGAAAGATTGTGCGGAAGATGAGCAATATGAGGGAGAAGAAGACGGCGCGGATGGGAATGGGTCGCAACTCGACGGGTGCTGGCGCTCCTGGGAGGTTGTTGGGATCATTCGGGTTCATATGAGGCACGTTTGGATTGGGAATCTGGCCTGGTCCTAGGCGGATCGGAGGTAGACCAAGTCGTTGTAGATGTTCATTGAGATTAGTGTGTGGGTTGACGGTGTAGGAGAAGCTGAACGAAACAGGTGGCGGAAAAGTGGTGGTCTCAGGAGGAGGCGTTGAAAGGATTGGGAAGGTGTAAGATAAGACCTTCAGAGCGTGTAGCTGGATAGGGGTGGGCGTAGCATTAGGATTAGACAGTGAGAGGTATGGTTGACCACTGTGTAGGGTTGATCAGCAACAAGACAGCTCATGATGGGAATCATACGCACTTCAAGGCAACTTGTTCGTACTTCAAACCATCCGCTGGATCACCTGCTGGAGGATACTCCATATCAAGAATGGCAGGCCAGGACCAGCCGTATGTCCGCAAGGCTTGTACTGCCAACAGCCGCTGCCGCTCAGCGTTAGGCAGTGCGGATAGGGCAGAAGGTGGAGGCATTGTCCCATTCATGAGGACATGGATTGCCTTCTGGTGCATCATAGCAACAACAGCGAGCGGAGATGTTTCAAGGGGAGAACGTGATCTCGATGTGGCCCTCTGTGACGCTGCATATTGGCGAGGGAAAGTAGACTGCATGCTGCTCGTCGCGCTCTGGGTGCTCGATCCTGTGGTCGAAGATGACGGCATCGTAGGCGGTGCGGACGTCCATGCTGAAGGATGGACTGCCAAATGCAAGGTGTGCGCGTCATGCTGCGACTAGAACAATGGCATCAGTATGCTACTCAAATCCACCGCTCCCATGGCGCTGCCACTTACCTTCCAGGTGTCTGCCACCTTCTCGTCGTCACTCAAGATGCGTCCCTTGTATATGAGCCGCTGACCATCTACGCGTGGCGCGCCGGTGCAGGTCTTGGAGATCTCGCGCTTGACGTCGCCAATGCTGGACGACTGGTCAACTTGGACGACAAAGGAGTGAGAGTAGGCCGGTAGCTCGATGCGGATGTCAACCAGGATGTCAACGAGAGACATGTCTAGAGACCTGGCGATCGCGGGTTGTGCACTGGTGGGAAGGGTGGCTGGAGAGAGTTGGCTGTCGCTGAGCGAGATGGGGAGCTCGCCGCGGCCGACTGAGTGTGAACGTGTAAGTACAGAGCCACGTGCTCTGCCGTCAGCGAGCGTGACTCCTGCGTCACCCCTTGTGACGCGCGCTCTTGAGGTGAGCAGCTCGCATCCACGATGGTGATCAACGACCTGGCAATTTGCTCGGGTCAACCATTCTGATCACACGAGGTTGTGTCCACTGCTCGCTCGCACTCGCCGACATGGACGCCGATCGGTCCCAACAAGCGTTGCAGCTGCTGGATATGGAAGCCACGTGGCTGCTGTGATCCTTGTTCTGCTGAGTGGCACGGACGCGGGCAGCAATCAAAGCAATCCATATGCGTCCTTGTAGTGAGTCCTCCATCTTTGTTCGCTCGACCTGAACACTTCGAGATCCAAGACACATCTCCCGCCCGAACAGCATTGCATCGCTCCGGGAACAACGCCTGCTCCTGCATAAGAGTCCGCACCGCAGGCGAGACACTCCACGATCATGTCCAGCATGTCCACCTTTGAATCCCTTGTTGCCGACCTCACTCGCGACGCTTGCCGCGTCCAGCCCAAAGATGCCCTCCAATTTTGTGCAAACTGGTTCCAATCTCGTCTCGAGGAACAGCGCACGCGTACCCGCGACGTTCTCTCCCAGCGTCCCGCTTCAGCGCGCGACCTGCCTGCCGACCACTACCTCGATACCCCTCTGGGTCCCACTTCTGGATCTATAAACCCGCCCAGCGTTTCACCCTTCGAATCACCGTTCCCTCCACCGCTCTCGAAGCCTCGCTCCTCGCTGCGTAACTCAATGTCTGTCCCGAGCCCTTTTGGCACGCTCAACGTTCCAGGCAATGCGCTGCTCTCTGATCATGGAGGCAGCAGAGACCGTGGCTCACTGACGCCTCCGTCGTTCAGGCTAGAGGAGGAAGATGAGCTCTCCCCCACCACCGTTTTTGCCAATCCAGACCCCTTCGCGTCCTTTGCGAATGGTTCGTCCTCATGCGGACACGGAGATTACTTAAATACCCTTGACCCGACGATCCTCGCGCGCCGTCCATCTGTCAGCGCCGAATCCATCGTGGTTGACAGCGAAGTGGACGAGCCACTTCCTGTATTTACAAAGACGGAAGACCAACTCCGACGCATACGTGCGTCGATCGCGAACAACTTCATCTTCCGCGACCTGGATGAAGAGCAAGAGACGGGTGTACTCAATGCGATGCAGGAGAAGCGTGTCATTCAGGAAGAGGTGGTCGTCCGCCAGGGCGATGTAGGCGACTATTTCTACGTCGTCGAGGAAGGGTGGCTGAATTGCTATATCCGTCCCGAGCCCCTGCCACCCGCATGGCTCACAGGCAACATCTCATCGGATGAAAAATTCTTACAGCCGGGATACCATTCGGAGTTCGGGAAGAAGGTCGCAGAGTGTCGGGAGGGTAGCTCGTTTGGCGAGCTGGCGTTGATGTATGGACACCCGCGGGCGGCAACCGTCCTCGCGATGGAACCATCGACGCTGTGGTCGGTGGACCGGATCACGTTCCGCACCATCATTCTCAAAGCGGCGCACAGGCGACGCACGATGTATGAACAGTTCCTCTCATCCGTGCCGCTTCTCACGTCCCTGGAGCCGGCCGAACGGAGCAAAATCGCTGACGCGTTGGTGAGCAAGGTGTACAAGGACGGGGAGGCAGTGGTGCGCCAAGGCGATATGGGCGACACGTTCTTCTTCGTTGAGGAGGGCGAGGCCGTCGTCATGAAGATGCAGCAGGCTGCCGAAGGAGAGACGAGGGAGATGCAGGTCGGACACCTGACAAAGGGCGACTACTTTGGAGGTATGGACGCGTGTTCCTGGATTGTTCGCATCAGACATCTCATACGTTATCTGGTTTAGAGTTGTCGCTGCTACGGCTGGCGCCACGCGCTGCAACAGTGAGTGCGATCGTCCGCGCAGACTCGTCAAAGCCGAAGCTGAAGGTGGCGGCGCTGGACGCGCCTGCGTTCACGCGTCTGCTTGGCCCGTTGCGGGACATCATGGAGCGGAATGCCGGGCAGGCATATGGGCCTGCGGCCGCGTCGAGGATATCGCACTAAGGGTGCGGTCGGAGGTGTCTTTCTTGCGTCGGAAGTATGTATCGAGCATGTGTACCGCGCGAAGTGTAGCCTATTGTGCCGCGCGTCTGCGGGCGATTGTCAATGAGGGTTCCCATCCTCGGAAGTTATGTAGTTCCATGGCAATGCGATGTGCTGCTCTGCCTCCTCTTGCCGAGCCGTCTCGATGCCAACGCGAGACGGAGATCACCCACGCTTCTGTTCCCACCACTGCCGCGGAGAGTGGCTCAAAGGCGGCCCTCTATCGCGCCCCCGGTCAATGGAGCTGAGGCGTGCACGATAGCACGTTTTTTTTCTCCCTCCCTTCCTTTTGTCCTTGTCTTCTCCTCGCTAGTGGCCCTGCGTTATCCTCCTACTTGTTCAAGTAGTGTCCGTCTTGACCATCGTAGGCTGCACCCCTGGTCTCCGGAAGATCAGGACGTCGAGGACAAGCCCACCTGCGCACAGTGCTCTGGCCAACGCTCTCCACACTCTTTTGGTATCTATTGTACGGCTCTGACCCCGTCATGAAAGGAAAGATGTACAAACGCGTGGACCGCGAGCACAAGCGCGACTTTTTCAGCAGTAGTGAGTCCTCAGCCCGTGTCCGTTGTTTTCTCGGCTGAGATGGCGGTATCACAGTAGGGCAAGATTTGTACGTGCTGCAAGCAATGGCTAGGTGACTTTGGACTCACGATGACGCTTTCGCAGCTCGTCGCTCTTAGACCCGTTCCCGCAAACGTCTCAGAGCACTGCGACAACTTCGTCCAGCTCGAGTACTAGCGTCAGCTCTACTGCGACGTCTAGCAGTGCTGCGGCTACATCGACGACGGCTAGTGAGTCCTCCACGGCGTCGACCTCGTCCACTCAGTACGTGTGCCCTCCCAGGATACGTCTCATTTACTAAACATTAATAGGTCGACGCCCAGCTCCACGGCAGCTGTTTCTAAGTCGACCGCAGCAACGTCCTCTCAGACCTCTTCTGCAAGCGCCACCTCCGCGAGCTCGGATTCGGTTGCTAGCACCACCACTCCCGCGACCTCCGCATCTCCTGCCACCACTACACCCAGGTCCAGCGCGGAAGCTTCCACCTACACATCGGCCTTTGCTACGACGTACACCTCGGATGGTCAAACCGAAGTCGCTACCATCACTACCACCTTAACCACTCAACCCTCCACCTCCGCGGTAGCCGATACCGCGTCTAGCGGCTTCCTCCAGAACAAGTCGTTATCGGTCGGCGTGATCACCGTGTGCTCGCTCGTCGGCGTCATCATCATCTTTGCCATCGCGACATATGCCATCCGCAAGCACAAGCGCAGCAAAGCGCGCGACGAGGCCATCGATTTCTCGCCATTCCCGTCCTCGGATGGGCTACTGGACCACAGGGACGTCGAACGGGACGGTGGGGCAGATGGCGGCGGGGTTCCCGGTCCCGGGAGAAGAGCCTCGAGGAGTAGCATCAACAGCAGTGGGAGCTTGCAGGGCGATCCGTCGATAGCGGGCGCGTCTAGTAATCAGGCTGGTTTGGGGGCGCAGGGTGCCGTACGGGATATGTACGAGCGGGCAGGATACCCAAATATGCCTGTCTTCCTCCCCGCGCCCGCCCCTGCACCGGCACCGTCCCGACCTGTCTACCCTAACCAGGCATACCAAAACCCAATGACGAGCCAGGTCCGCGCATACAATGACTACGGGCCCTACCCATCCTACAACCCGAACGCGGCCACCTATCAGCAGAACCCGATCGCCAACGCGTACCCGTCCATGCAGCAGAGCCAGCCACAGCCGAACCCGATGATGGCCCCTGGCCCTAGCAACCAGAGCAATATGAACGCACCGGTGCGACGGCCCAGTCTGAGGAAGCAAGTACCGCCTATGCTCTTAATCGACGTCCCTGCCACCCGCAGGGATATGGATGTCCTCCCGGCGTACCCGGGACCCGCTGCTGGTGCCGTCCCAAGCCCGATGTCGGCCATCTCGCTTAGTGACGGGCCTGTACAACCTGCAAACGTCGTGAACGCCGCGAACCCGCTCACAACGCCCATCGAGGAAGACTCGGGCCCGCCGGCGTGGAGGAGGAAGCAGCGCTCCTCGCTGATGTACTCGCCCGTGCAGCTCGCGTACGCGGAGAATTCGCAGCGCTCGAGGCAGTTGGATCCGAGCATTCCAAAAATGCCGGCCGCGGGACCAGCGCCGCCGGAGGAGTTTGGGAGGTCGGTTCCCGTGACGGGTGTGGATGAGAAGAAGTCGATCAAGCAGCTCACTGTGAGTCGCGAGTTTCGTCTTTATGTATATTGGTGTTCTAATCAGTTGATGGACACAGGTCCGGAACGAGTGAGCGTTGACTGCGCCTGGTCGCAAACAAACGTGTATTACGTATATCCAGCTGAAACTGATACCTACCCCCCCACGCACCCCTTTGATCCCCTGCACCCATTCTATCGCCGACATTCTCGCTCTCGCTCGGCTTATTCAAGCCGCATCGCAGGCATTGCCTTTGTTTTCTCGCCTATCGATGCTATCTTTCCCTTCCGACCTGCTGGACACAGGGAGGGCGTGTAGACCAAGTCGCACTGCACTCTGCAGCCGTTAGACACCGCTGACATTCTTCATTGATTGAACGATGCTTGCCATCCTGTATCTTTAGCATTTCTGTTTCCATTGTAACTGACGTTGCTGCCGCTGCGGCTTTTGCTTTTCGCTTGTGCATAATATAGATACCGAACAGAATAAATCTGTGACTTTTCGCTCGCGTACGATGGTGTGTGTACCTAGCTTATGTCAAAGATGATGGGCTGTTCTTGCGTCTTGCATCTTGTCCGAGTCGGAGATGATATTGTGGTTTTAGGCGAATCGCCGAGTCCGATTGGAGCAAAGTCCGCGAATCTGGATAGATCGCCCTGTTTGATCCATGGCTCGGACGATGTTCGAATATATATATATAGGAGTCGTTGTAAACTCAGTGGGACCGATATTCCCTGTTCTTCCGTCGCATGCCTCTTCGTTGAAACAGTTTATTACTATCGTAAAGTATGGCTAAGCGAACTTGCCTTCGTCAATGCCACTCTGCTTTGGCATGCTCAGTGGCCGCTGAGCGTTGAATATTTGAACGCTGAAGTACCGTCCTCGATACGGAACCTTGCAAATGTCGCGCTTTTGCACAACTAGAGGGGTTAAATTACTTTATGCACTAGTTCATCAATTGTCGAGTTCGTGTACACGGTGTGGTTAAACCGTATAGGATAACACATCCTCCGGCCTCCCTAGCCCCTCCTACACGTTCTGCTGAACATCAGCCATCTTCGATATCAAGCGATATGACACCGACTTTGATGCCATCCACCCCGCCTCCACATCTGGCACAGAATAGCTGTATCCGCTGTGTTATCGACAATCGTGAGTTCATCCAATATTTTTCGATCGCGCATGCCAGCAGCTTGCAATGCTGCACGTAGCATGATCTGAGACAAATTCTATCATGTCTGCCCCGGTGATTGCGATGCATGATGATGCTGAGCTGACAATCGCTTGGTCGACGCCATGCCTGTTCCGAGCCCGAGTTGTGCGAGTAAATAATCGATCATCTCGACGCGGCCAGGGAGGCACGATTATGGTGTTCAAATTGAAGATATCAGAACGTTGCTAAACCGCGCACTTGTCTGCCGAGACTGATTTCACTGCGAGAGCCGTGCTGTCTTCTTGGAGCGTCTCCCCTATGCCATTCAACGTGTCAGCAGGTACACAGTCGGGCTTATCAAGGATGCTTACTTATCTTCCCCCCTGCATACATTGTGCCACCTTCTTTGGCAGCGATTCAAGGTTCATAGAACGCCATACAATTAAGGCACACTCGGGGGAAACTCCATGCCGGCGCCTCGGGGGGAGAGGGGGGGGGGGGGGAATTCTCTGCAATGCCGGGCGATAAGGACGGTGCACGACCAGAGAACTTTTGCATAGGACGAATCAAAGCAGATGCACTCGTAGCGCGATGCAAGGGTGCGTTGGACTGTTAGCAACTGCAACCCCCCATCACAAAGGCAAGTTTTTTTGCGAGCGATTCAGCCGTGACATGGTCCCACCGAAGACAAGTTGCAGGTTTCGCGATCAGGTCGAGAAAGTATTTGCACGCCACCGTACTACGGATATGATCAGATGGCATAGTGTGGGGTCGCACTGCACATGTACATCAGGACGCCTGACGAAAAGCCGTTCATTACCTGCATGACACAAAACTGTGAAGTCACCACGAAGGTAACTTGGTTCAAAATAACAATTTCGGAGTTACATAAGCATTTTCCATCTCCGAAACGCGTCGATCGGATCTCGCATGACACGCCGGTGGCTGAGGCTCACTGTAGCCTGTCACAGCAACGACTGGACAACACAGCCTGCACAGATTTATTTTTCCACGGGAAACTTGATGGTAAAATGGTGAAAATATCTTAAGCCTGGATATGGAAATAGTTTGGAAATCAGGTGGAAACAATTGAATTATGTTACAATTGCTTCACCAAAACATATCGGTATCACATATTTTTGGACTGAAATATCTTCCTTTGGGAAATAGCTTCACTATTGCTGATATGTTTCGGTAAAACAATTTAACATAATTTAATTGTCTCCGCCCAATTTTCATACTATTTTTATATCCAGACATAAGATATTTTCACCATTTTTGCATCAGGTTTCCAGTGGAAAAATAAATCTATGCAGGCCGTGCAAGAGATCAAAAGGACTAAAAAGGAATGGTCACGTGGAACGTGCCACCCTGATCCCCCTAATCCCTAAAGTGGCTGAAGAGCCTAACACTTACTAGCTGGGTAGCAAGCGTATGGATGTGTGATAGTGTCACGGTAACACCGGACAAGAGATCAAAAAGACTAAAAGGGACAGTCACGTAGAACGTGCTGCCCTGATCCCCCTGATCCCAAAGTATCTCCCTGAACCCTATGTGGCGCAAGAGCCTGTTGACTGACTAGTCGATGTGGTGGGCGCAGAAAAGGGTTAGAGATATATGAAGGAGCTGGTGAGCTCAGTGAGTGCTACAGGTAGTAGATGAGGAGAAACAATCTGAAGTTTCGTCCCCTACATGGCTGGTCTTATATACACGTACAGCGAGCTATCTTACCTAAGCTACCTATCTACAGATATAAGCTAATGGCTGCACATGAAACAATAGGATGTCCGGAAGTAGAACAATAAGTGAGAAGATCGATGGTTGCCGCAGTGATGCGTGTGCACATCGTGCCTATCTTGGTTTCCCTTTTGTTCTCCGGTGTGAACATCGTGCCTATCTAGGCTTCTGGCTAAACTAATAGGAAGCGGAAGGCCGATGCCTAACAATAGTCCTTGTTTCCTTTGTTCCCAAATGGGTGCCTCTATTGTATCCTGGAATAGACAGGTCTGACCATATCATCCGTGGGTCTGGACCATAACATGTGATGTGGACTATCACCTGATCTCTACGTGTCGTGTCTGTGGCTGAGTGGTATGAGATATTGGTGAAGCACGTGATCTGTGGTGTGAGAAAAGTCACATGCAGACTTTGGTGGTGAAAATCTGTGACACTACCCCCCTCTCAAGGCTCATTGTCCCGAGGAGCCAAAACCTTTATTTCCCCTTCTAGTTGCACGCAACAGTTGATAGCTTCTGGAGGAAAGCCCTTCTGCATAATATTTGAAGATTATTTGGGCTATCCTGTCTCCCGGCTTTACCGAAAATACGAAATCCGTTGTGTTGATCAGTACGACCTTGAGTTCTCCGGTGTAATCAGGGTCAACGACTCCTGCACCCACGTCAATTCCTCTTGCAGCAAGTCCACTGCGTGGAGCTATTCATGTGTAAGTATGTTTGGGAGGGTCAATTGCAACTCCCGTTCCTACCACAGCTCGTGAATGCGGAGGGATTTCGTGCATTTCTGCTGCATAAATATCCCATCCTGCTGCTTCATTTGAGGATTTTTTCGGTGATTTGGTGAGGTCTGTCATTTTATGATACAGGAAGAACTCGTCTGGATGATCGAACATATTGATTCGGTGTGTGGAGATCGGTGCAACTTCATATGAGGATAATTCGAAGTGTTTTCCACCAAAAGTGACGACCCTGATTGGTGCTTTGGCTGCATCTGGATGTTGTTGGTGGAATTCTTGAAGAAGCTCGTCAGCGTTGGTAAGATTTGTTCGGGGTTCCCATGTATCGTCGGAATGGTCATAGCCTTTCCATTTGATGAGGTATTGGACCCGTCCCCTTACGACCTTTGAGTCTAGTATTTCTTCAACTTCGAATTCTGGTTCTCCTTCGATTTCTATGGCTGGGGGCTTTGGGGGTTCACAGTGTATGACCGTGTCTTGATGATACATGATCAACTTGCTAGCATGGAAGACCGGGTGGACCTTCATTTGCTTAGGCAGTTCCAGTTTGAATGTGACTGGGCCTAGCTTCTGAAGTACTTTGTAAGGTCCGAAGTTTTGTGTGCCTAGCTTCGCGGACTTGACTTTTACTCTGAGATCCTTTCCCTTGAGTAAAACTAGATCTCCGACTTTGAATGGGACTTCTCCCTTTTTCTCATCGAAGTACCATTTCATTCGTGAAGCTGAAACTTCCAATGCTGCCTTTGTCTGTTCTTGTGCCTCGGATCGGTGGGCGAATAGATGTTCCAATGAGGGATGACATATTGATTCGTGTACGTCTGGTGCCATTTTTGGATGTCGGCCATATTCGACAAAGAATGGGAAAAGTGCGGTGGATTCATGGGTCTGGTTGTTGTATGAAAATTCTGCTGTCGGTAGGTAATAGACCCAATCATTCTGTCTGTGGTTGCAGTACATTCATAGGTACTGCTCCAACACCTGGTTAACCCTTTCTACCTGACCGTCTGTTTGGGGGTGATACACTGTAGACATTGTAGATTTTATACTGAGCTTCTGGCAGAACTCTCGAAATAGTTTACTCGCAAATTGAGTACCTCTGTCTGAGATAACCTGGCGTGGTAATCCATGGAGTTTGAAGACCTCGTGATAGAATATGTTAGCGACTTGCGACAATGTGACTGTATCATCCGTTGTATAAAAGTGCGCTCATTTTGTGAGTCTGTCTATGACGACAAGTATTGCCGTCTTCTTTTCTCCCCTAAAGTCCATGGCTGGAGGAAGTTGAGTGATGAGATCGACTGTGATGATTTCCCATGGTCCTCCTGGTACCTCATTGGGTTGTAATAGTTCGTATGGTTTTTTCCTTGAGTACTTGTTGCGTTGACAACTGTCGCAACCTTGTACGTATTGTTTAACCATTACAGACATTCCTGGCCACCAATAATTTCAAGTAATAAGCTCCAATGTCTTGAACCTGCTGGGGTGTCCAACTGGTAAGGTGTCATGATGGAGTTTTATTAGGTCAAGGCATAGCTGTTGATCCTTGGAGACATAAACCTTTCCGCGATGGAGCAGCAGTCCATGCTCGAAGTTCCATTCTGCGAGGTTTTTCCCAAATTCGCGCTGTCCTGTAGTCAAAAGTGCATGATAATCCTTGGTCATCATGTCGTCTGTGAGTGCCTTCTTGATCCTTTCCAGTAGTTGAGCATCATCAACTTCAGATGCGTGAGC